GCTGAAGGCATATAAATGTAATGAGAGTAGCTTAGAGAATATAGAACATTAGAGATGGAGAAACTTGCATATTGTTATGTACTCCCAAAGCTTGCAAAAACACGCTCTTTTTGTGTTTAGCAATATCTATTAAATTGTAATGGTGTATAACTATAGACTATAGTCCCAAAATAGAGACAAAGATGCCACTAATTCTGTAGCATTGTTGTTCTAAAATGCAGAAAAGTTTATCCTTCTCCTACTGAGGATCTAATAATGTTTTAGAACAGTTTCTTTGGCAGTATGCCTGATTTCTCTTCCAATTCCTCTACCTTGTCTTTCCCAATACTGAGATGTAACAGTTCAGATGCATGTAGAAATATGTCACCTATACCTCTATAACTTTGAATTATATTTCTGTATTGTTTATGAACTTGCTATGCATTTGCAATCATTATTAATAAATCAATGTGCTTTTGTCTTCTGTCACAAAGTAATGTAGGTATTCAAAAAGAATTGTATGCAAAACAAGTCATGTTTTAGAACTCATATCATTAATAATTATCAATTTGCAGTATTGTTACAACATGTTTTGAGGGAAGCTTATTATAAAAGAAATAACAAGGCGCACTGCACAGTAGCAAGAATAAGACAGTTCAGTTGATCACTGGTATAGATGTTATAAATATGCCAGTCTGTACTATAGTGTTTTATTAAGTCTCAAAAAGTCAAAGCTGATTTGAAATAATAATGTCTGACAGTCAGTGCTTTGAAGTTTTGCTGCTGCACTCTCACATTTAGGCTTCCTTTTATGTATGACTTTACCATAAAAAACAAAAACACACACACGGCATGAATGCTTTTTTTTTTTTTTTTGTATCTGTATTTCAAAGAAAGTAATAGGATCTACTTCAGTGAATTAAAAGGAAAAAAAATAAAAGGAACAACCCCCCAGAATCGATGAGGATAGGTGCAGGCCACTGTAAGGTCATACAGTATTCATGTAAGCTGCAGCTGGGGTTGGTAACTTGTTGAAGACTGTAAAAGTGAAATTTAAAAAAAAGAAGGAAAAAAGGGAAGAATAAGGAAGAGACAAGAGGCAAAAGCTATCCTTGATAGGAACAAGATGACTTTCATTCAGTTGGAAGAACTTGAGAGCTTGGCTGTGATAGCTAACACACTCATTCTTCATCACTGGTCGTGCAACAAAGAGCTGGATTCCATCCATTCCATGACTGATTGATTACCCAGTGGACAAATGTTAATTCTTTTCATCGATGCTTTGTCGTTGTGGAGAGATCCTTTTCATCTAACACCTAGGCTTTTTTTCTCTCTGCTTTTTTTTTTTTTTTCTGCTTATTTATCTCTTAACATCCTCTTCTCATTCACCTTTGCAAAACTGTCCTGTCTAATAAGATTCTCACAGTACTTTAAACTCCTTTAGTTTAAAATTAATATTGCTGAAAAAGTATGTTATAAACCGTGATATTAGATAATACTCAAAGATTTAATTTAGTCATCTCAGTCTAATAATACTTAACCTGTTTGCCATCCTTGAAAGAAAATTTTTCCTAGTTCACAAAAGAAGGGTATAAAGAATGAGAAACTGTGTGTTGTTAATATAATAAATTGCTCCAGTGCAACTTCACGAGTTTGATCTTACATGTGTCAGTACAAAATATGCTACTTTACGGCATAAGCCCAACTGTGGTTTATAAAGTCAGTGAGAAGAGCTAAAAATGTATAAATGCTAATTTCTTTCTTTGCTTCTTTTATAATTATCTTTAACAAGAATACCCCTGAATTTTGAAAATGTCGGGATCCACAAGGTTTTGGAATGGTGCTGAAGCAGAGCTTCAGTGCAGGGAGAGTGATGCAGTGCAGATGTGAATTTGGGCTTCTTCAATGTTCAGTGCTGGATTCCGAGTCGATGTTTTGTTTCTATAATGAATCAAATCAGAAAATGAATCAATATGGATGAAGACATTTTACCAATGTCAGAAGATATCTTTGTAGATTTTATATGTATGTAAAAATTAATTTTCCGTACAGAAAGAAGAAAAAATCCCTTTCTGATTCACAAGCCTTTTCAAAATGTGTGTTTGTGAATACAGAATACAGAACTTGAAGGGAGACATGCTTTTCAAGTATAAGCCTTTACATTTAGTTTCGTGTCTGATGTGGAGGACCTCCAGAGACCTTTAACACATATAATTATTTTAAATTCTAAAAATTATGCAGATTAAACCTGTTAATTGAAAATTTACAGGAATTTCAAAAGAGCTATTTTTACAATCTTACAAAAAAAGTTTATTAAAAGACTCACTGTGTGTTTTTGTAATCTTCCCAATAACAAAATACAGTAGCTATAAATTGTGTGGTCAGATCTATAACACAGAGTTGAATGAGATAGGGATGTTTAAAGAAATGTTTCTTAAGGAATTTTTCAGTCATTTATAGAGATAAAAATTGTAACTATCAATGTCATTATATCGAAAAGAAGGCACACAGATAGACCTATTTTCCATTCCAGTTCTTTCCAAGTCTGTCTTTAGAAATATGTTTTTTGCCCTTACGTAGTATAAGAACACTACAGATAAATATGGGTGTTCTTAAGAACAGTGAGAGAAGAAATAAAGCAAGTGCTTTTGAGGAAAGTATTTTATCAACTCCTGTGATATACTAATTGTTTCTTTTTTTAAAATTTAAATGTTTTTCCTGCTTTGTGTGAATTGAGGAAAATATATTAGTTAGAAAGCAGTAGAATACATAACTTATAGCAAACATCAAAATAAAACTCTAAAGCTCTTTTTTTTTCAGGGATGAGGGGCCTGAAATTTTGGCAGGGGAGAAACATAGAAACATCTTTTTAAACTAATGATGATATCACAAAAAAGGACAAATTATAATGTTCTATTGATAATTGATGGTTATTTCTTGATTCTTCTATTATCAGGCCAGAACTCATAAAAGTAATAAGTGCCTGTTATTGTTAAAAGTAAATTGTTATTATATAACAAGTATTTTAACACTGCCTATTGCAACTTACAGCTCCTTAATTTTGTCTCTTTCACAGAAAGATATAATTAGTAAATAAATTAGCTTTTCTACTGAAATATTACTTCAAAAACATTTACGAGCTGTGTTGTCTTTCCACGGAGGCTTGCACGGTGAAAATGTGTTGCAATTAAAACCTGATCTTTGATCTTTTGGTAGTTACAGTTTGGTTTTCTTTCAACTGGTTTTGTTTGGTTTATTTTGTTTGTTTTGTTTTACTTTGTTTCTTTGTTTGTTTGTTTCAAATGAGTGGCACTAATATGAATTTTTAGCCTGAAACTACTTGCACCCTGAAATATGATTGGCCATATGACCTTTTTCTTCCTTAAACTTCTCCTTAAATCTTTAACTTCTCCTTTTGTGACCTCTTGGAATGTTTCTCCTCCCTCTGAGTATTTTTGGAATACTCTGAGGTGGAACAAACTGTTACCCATTGTATTGATGTGATCTGTGTTGCCATTTTTAATCTGGGCTTTTTGATTTCATTTTCATTTGTGCGAGTGCTTCTGATGGGACTGCTGACATGAGAATTTGAGCCACGATTTGGCCTTAATCTGCCAGTAATTTACCAGAAGATGTTAGGCTGAATTCTGCCTTCTTATACACCCCAGTGTTAATTCATAAGTGACTGGAGTGTGAGCAGTGCAAATGTTGTCAAAATTTAGATCATTATTAGTTATTTAGAAAGCATTGTGTAAATTGATCTCCTCCTAACACAAACGGCACCTTGCTATGAGAGTTTCTAATGAGCTAAGGTGTATGGCTCTTCCCAGTGTATGCACTATGACACAACAGGCTCAGCACCACCCAGAGTGATATGTGGTCTCATAAGGAAGGCTCTTTGCAAAGATTCATTTTAGGAATAGAATTGTGTTTAAATAATATTTTTGATGTCTTGCTAAACTGAGCCTCAGGGTTTCCAAGGAGTTTAGCATAGCCATTGTTGATGAGTCTGTCTACCAATGAAAGTAAATGCACAATGTTTAATGGAGATTCTATTATTACTAACTGGGAAAGCAAAATAAGTGTTCAATTTTGTATAAAGTTTTCTTGATAATTGTTTATAAACCTGAATTTTGATTCTTAAAGTCATAAAACTCTGTATCACAACATCAACCATAAGAATTCACATCTTAAAAAGTCACCTTTTGGAAGTTATCAGGAAGGTTGTGTATAATTCAGACTTCAGCCAATTAGTTTAATTTAGGAACTGAAAAAAACTTTAGATTTTATTGAAGTCTGTTATGCTCAATATCAAATTTTCTAGTGGAATTGGGGTCTGATCATAGGAAACTTACAAGGCCAGTCTTCTACTTTCTCCTAAGCATAATGACTTCAGTGACAGTTTTGCCTACAGAAGGCCTCCCAGTTTGGGGCAAAGATTTGAAATATATTCTGAACTTCAAATTATGAAAGCCTGTCTTCTAATCATTGCACGTTGTTTATAGTGTACTGAAAAAATTTCTGATACTTTGAACATCCAATACGTAGAGTGCTTTTATGAATTCCATGGAGACATTATATGAATAACTTTTGCATTGACATGGGTATAAAAATGGGTTTTAGATGTCACTGTGTGCCAAATTTCCAAAAAAAGCTTCCAAATCTTCATGTATAATTTCGAGTGTACAATCATTCTCAAATGAAAAATACAGAATTTGTATATACATTGGCAATCTATGCATGTAAATTGGCAGTTAGCATGCATAAATCCTGAACGAAGTTTTTCTTTCAATTAGACCCTTGTTAAATCCATAGTAACTCCATTAACCTCGGTGGAATTACTTTGGATTTGAAATGCAGTTAAATAAGAACTCTGGCTACAAATTCCTTCCCCTTTGAAACTATGGTTCAACTAGAACAAGGAGAATGGTTTTAAAATTAAGGTGGCACCTGTTTTCTTAACGTGTAAGAATATATTTAATAATTATTTTTTTTCTTTTTTTTTTTTTTAAAAAAAATAGATTCGTCCTGCATGGAAAAGCTGCTTTCTAAAGACTGGAAGGAGAAGATGGAAAAATTAAACACAAGTGATCTCCTTGGAGAAATCAAAGGTATCTCACTAGATCAAATGTTAAATGTTTGCATATATTTTTAAAGGGGGACTGAGGATTTTTTAAAGTTCAGAAAAAATAATAGAAATAACAATCATAACTAGAGAGTGCTTTCCTCTTTCCAGTTAATTCACTCTGGTTTTTAATGTTTGTCTTTGAGATGATGAATGTGTCTGCAAATAAATATATTAGAGAATGTCACAATCAGTTATAGATAGTATCAAGGATGTTATCACAAACACCAGGTTAGTTACATTAGTTCATTGATGTTAGCTATATATCTCTGTGACCAGAGTAAGAGGAAGAAACATCTTGAAGACATGGAGATACTAGTGCTTGGTACTGTTTCTTCCTAGTTGCATAAACTATATGTAGAAACTGCATTCAGATTATAAAAGGGGGTAATTGTGTGATTACCATTCTAAATCTTTGATTCAAAATTGGGGAAAAAAAGAATACTTGTTTATATTCATGCTATTTCTACAGAGAAAGAGCAGCTCTGGATGAAATTTGGCACCTACTGAAATCAGTGCAAGTTTTGTTGCATATATAGACAGTACTTTCCAGTATTTCCAAGATTTGTTGAACCATCAATCTAGTAAAAATGGAATTCTCTTGACAATCAAGAACTGTGTAGAAAACTTCAAGTGTTTTTCTCCACCCACATGGATTTTCTTAGTGAGAAGAAATTCAGTGTTATTGATTAAGCAACAAATTGAAAAGGTGGGGTTTTGTGCTGTGAGAAGGGATCATAAGGCAAGTTTGAGGAGTACACAAGGTACCTAAGATTTATTTCTCTTCGTTGACATAATTGAATTGCAAGAACAAATACGTAGAAACAAAGCATCATGTGCATCGTATTTATAAACCTTTGCTAATGTAAAAAAAGAAAACCAAAATCCACTACTTGATGAAAATTGATGCTTAGGGTTTTACATTTCCACCAGGGAAACTTTAAATAGTTCAATTTTTTCATTACACAAAGAGATGAAAGATTGGCCCTTTTTAATCAGTAAGTTATAATTGGTTCCTTCAGCTGATTCAGGACCAGAATCTGTTGGATTCTCCTGTTGGATTTTTTTGGTAGAGTTATGACAATGTGTATATATTAGGCAGGTAAGAAATCCTATAGTAATGTCTGTGGCAGAAATATAGTATGCAGTTTTACACGAACATGTTAAAATTGACTGTAATAAAAGCCAACAAAATTATATCTTGAAATCACGTTCTATTTAAATCTGTATTGTCTCATAATAGTGTGGAAAACACTGAATGTTAGTTTGTCCATTAATTGCACAATATAGCTACTTAGTCTTTAAATGGAAACTACTTGAATGCTATTAGTGAATCAAAGTTAAAAGAGGTGGGATCTCTAACAATGCAGAATAATGTTTATTATTTTATATGGGACAACAACCTTTTTCATGAGCTTTCATTTATTAAAAAAAAGTTTGCTTTTCTGGATTTATGTTATTCCTTCTGTTGTCTCGGTATATATATTCACTGCAGAGTGAATGGGTAGAGTTCTTGCATCTAACCCTTTTCTCACTACCTGCAGAGCATTCTCACTCAGATTTGGAATAATTTTCAACTCATTCAGCTACCTTTTCTGGGGGTATAGCCTATTAGCTGCATAAAAAGGATCACCTGATTAGACTCACTAGATTTATGTGTTGACAGTCATTCAGTTAGTTTCCACAACTTACTTCCTGTGTCTTATCCCTAGAAACCTATCCTTAAGTGGTCTTAATGTCTGCAGCATTCCTCTCTGCTACTAGTTGACTTCCAGCAAGATGCAATATTGAATCTTTACTACCACAACTGCATTTAAATTTTTTCATGAACAGGCAAAAATGCAAAGAAGCATACACAAACAAGGAAGATAAATGATGGTTGCTGTGATGTCGTGCTTTACACTTACAGTATTCAAACTTCTTGACAAAGACATTGATGTTATTTTATAAAAGAAGAAAACAAGGTGCAGAGTTACGTAGCAGGAGTAGTGGCAGGTCTGAAGCAGGACTCCTTTCCTTTGGGCTCTTAAGCCAGTGGCCTATCTGCTGTCTCCAGGCTGGTGAGCTCCTAGCTGACAAAATCGCTGTCAACCTAATAGCCTGATGTTAACTCATATTAGCAATTGTGCGCCTTAAGTCATCTCAGAAAGGAAAAAACCCAAACCCAACAATCTAGCCCATGGTAGCATGAAAACCAGATTATGAGAAGGTAATAAAGCAAAGTAGGGGAACCAGAGAGAATTTTTAATCTACCAAAGAAGTATACTTTAAAAAAAAAATCTTTTCAGTGTTCGAGGTGGTAGATTTCCAAGTCATGAAGTTCATTTTCTTAGTGCTGAATGAATTTCCAGTTACGTAACTGGCAGGGCATGCTAAGGTCTGAAAGAACTACTTTTGAAAATGTGTCATCATTGGGAGGTCAAATATCTTTTTCCTTAATTTCCATTTGATTCTAAATCAGTTTATTTAACGGGCTGACATTTTTGGCTTTTGTGCAGACTTTCTGCTCATATTACTGAGAGCCTAATTTAAAGACATGAAGCGATGCAGTAAAAATAAATAAATGAGGTCATTAGGGAAAAAACCCTTGATTATAAGAAAGTGAGGTGTGGTCCTGTGAGGAACTGCTCTTTGCACTGACTGTTACTGGGAGTTGTTTATTTTAGAGGGAAGGCGTTGTTCTCGCTAAGGATAACCTGAGCATATACTCTTCCTCTGTGTCTGCACAACTACAGCCCTCCTCCCTTCAGTGAAAAACTATCATCTTGGTTGTGGGAAGGCAGTTCACTACAAATCAGTGCCAGAAAAAAGGATGAAAGCAGAAAAAAACATACCACTAACACAAACTGTTTCTACTCATGTTTCGGAAGCACGTAGACAAGAAGAAAAGATAAATGGCTGAGAGAAACAAATAAAAAATGGTATTTTCTTGCTTTACCGTCTATATTTAGAACACAATAGTGTTAATCAAGATATAATCATAAACTGTATCTATTAATTCAAACAATAGAAGCCAATACAAAAGTAACAAACAGTGAATCATTTACTTTTTCTCTAAGTGGAATTGTTCCTGTTCACAATTACTCTTGCATAGTGTGCTTCATTTGTAAAACTGCTTTTTCTGAGTTCCTTTATTAGGATTTCAGTTATTGATAATGGTCCAGATTCTTCCTTGAATTCCAGCCAAACAAGCCATTGACTTGAGAGAGGTTGCATGAAACTCAGAGGAGCATTTGGCAGAATGTTTTGTAGCCAAATTCCAGTGGTTAAATAAGTCTGTTCATTTGATATGTTTATAAATGAAATACATAGGTCTGATTTTCAAAGGTCTGTGAAGCAGTTGAGCTGAGTTAAATGACCTGCTCACCTGGAAAAAAACCCCGCAGTTGCTGATGCAAATCATTTGATTGTATGCTATTTTCCACTGTGTGCATGCAAATACTTTTATTTAAGATATACAGGCAATTTGTTAGGCTTATGTCCGGCTTTTGCAGTGTCATTTTTTTGTATAAAAATTAGGATCAGGAAATACTTTTCATTCTAATTTTTGTTATCATGGATTTGAATAAACAGAGTGATACAGGACTCTCCTAAATTTCCAGATATTTGGGTGCACAGAGTTCTGTCCTCGCCCTCCCTCGCTGCACGTATTTCTGTTGCTTAGTTATCTAGTTTTTCTTCAGCAGCCACAGCTAGGCAGAGTAGCATCATTTATCACTATACAGAGTCTGTTTTAAGTTTTCTGTTTCTGTTCCAAATATAAATCTCTGGAATAGCGTAGTCTTGCATGCATCAGGCAGTTGTCCTACTGAAATAGCCCGCAATGGTCTTTCTCAGCATGCAGGGTCTTTGAAGATCAAATAGGAAAGGTCAGTCTTTAAGTAACTTAAGCAATCCTGTTATCGTGAAAGGGTCGGAACTGGTCTAGCAGTCTTACACAGGAGTGACTCCTGGGTCACCGGCTACTGTGGTGCAGGTTGGTTCTCTGGCTTCCATTGATGGTGTTTACAACTTGAACTGTCTATATTTATAGGCATTGTGACTTGAATGTCACATGCTGTCTTTGTACAGTCTACTCTATTTTGGGAAGGGTAGTGACTGATGTCCATAGCTTTATCCAATACAGAAGGCTGTTTGCATTATGTTTCAAGTACTTATGCTTTCCCCTTTGATAGTTGCTACTTTATTAAAAAGAGCTTAAACCTCCTATTTCATGTGATGTGTACACATTTAATGGCCTCACAATATTTGGATAGGTGGGAGGCAGCGTTCCTGTTTCCTAAGAAATGTTGAATTTAGTAAAACGAAGCAACTTCACCCACTTGGTAGTCTCCTTGTAAGATACACTATAAACAATATTGAAAATGATACTTGTCCCTGGTATTAGAACACAGGAGAGATGGAAAGAGGTGTTTTCTAGGACCATTTTTGTGTGTGTACTTTAATGACTGGAAGACAACAGTGAGGCACAACTGTTTGAATCTAGTAATTTAACACTATCCATTTCTGGAATAGTCTTGGACAGAGTTCTGCATGAATGAATCCTTGAGAAAGCTATGGTTTCTCTGTTTTTACAGTGAATTAAATTTTTTCTTAAAATATGCATGATTTACAAAACATTTTAAAATGCTATTTTTGCTTCCATTTTATAAAATTTGGCTTCACAGATAAGATTTCGGGTGTTTCTTGGTGCACTATATCAAATGTGGAGACTGTTTTGAGGAAAATAATTCTGGTATTTTCCTGTAGCCCTGACCAACACTGGATTTGCAGTACTTCTTTCTCAGTATAATTGCTGAAATTTCTTTCTCATGAAGTCTAAGGGTATAGAACAGTCTGCCTTATAAATATGTATAAATAAATATATATAAGTCTTATATCACAGAGACACTCAGAGGTTTTTAATTATGTCACTTTGTATGGTTATAGACATTTCAAAGCTCTCCTTTGTGCTCTCTGTTATAAACATATTTTATTTCTTTTGAA